AGCCCAGGCTTGGGGACCCAAAGCCTGCTGAATACCAAAACCTGTCTTTTATGCCTTTTACGTTGTGTATTCTCCTATAAAGAGGGTGGACAAAGTGTCTATCCATGTGAAGATATCACCTTTTCATTCTTTTGAAGGAAATTATATGGGAAAGGCCTATAAAAACACAAGGTTCCACATACACACTGGAATGGACAGAAACATCACATGTGGCAAAGATATGGAACAAATGGAATTCTCACATACTGCTGGTGGGAGGGTACACCAACACCAATACAACCATTTTGGAAAACAGTTTGGCAGTATCTACTAATGCGGAACACATGCATACCCTCTGGTTCAGCCATTCCCCTCTTAGGTGTACCCAACAGAGATGTAAATATGTGCTCACCAAAACACAAAAATGCTCACAATAGCACTATTTATAAAAGAACTGGAAACTACTCAAAGGTTCACTAATACTAGAATGGATAAACAAATTGCAGTTATACTATTTAGCCATGAGAATGAATGGCTTAAAAGTACATCCAATAGTATACAAAAGGTTACATAAAAGCACCTAGAAACAACAGTAGATATTGTATGACTCCATTTACGTAAAGTTCAAAAACAGGCAAAATTAATTTATGATACTGGATGTCAAGACGGTGGTTTCCCTTGTTGATAGGGGTAGTGACCAGAAAGGACCACAGAGAGGATTTCTGGGGTGCTGGTAATGTTCTGTTTCCTCATCTGGGTGTGTTCCATTTGTGATGATTGAGTTGTACACTTTTAAAAAATATTTTTATTTTTTGAGACAGAGTCTCACTGTGTTGCCCAGGCTGGGTGTACAGGCTGGGGTACAGTGGTGCAATCACAGCTCACTGCAGCCCCAACCTTCTGGGTTCAAGCGATCCTCCCACCTGAGGCTCTTGAGTAGCTCAGACTACAGGAGCATGTAACCATGTCCAGCTAATTAAAAAAATTCTTTTTGTAGAGACGGGGTCCCACTATGTTGCCCAGGCTGGTCTCAAACTCCTGGACTCAAGTGATCCTCCTGCCTCAGCCTCCCAAAATGCTGGGATTACAGGTGTAAGCCACTGCACTCAGCCTGAGTTGCATACTTAACGTCTGCACACTTTTCCATATATACGTTATACATCAGGAAAAAAGTTCAAACAACAAACAACAAAATCTGTAAGATTCCAGAAAAGGGCAGTTTCCTGGATAATCTGAAGAAAGACCTATATGCATCACTTGCCAACATTTACAAACTATCTACTCTGCCAGGTGTCACAATAGAGAACATCAAAAGCATAGATAACTCCCTTCCAAGGGGACTTGAGGTCAAGTAAGAAGAGTCTACTAAACAGACTATTCTATTTTTAAGAGAAGAGCAATCAAGAAAGAACATCCCATTATCAATTTATAATTACTTCCAAATCCCAATACAGAACACAACCTATTAACACCATTTTAAAAAGTGAAGTTTATAAAACCATGAGCTGTTCTAATTATTTGCTGAGATTCACAAAGAATTGAGAAAGAAACATTAGGCTGACCAACGATACTATACATTTGTTCTTCATTCCCAAAGACTCTGATTTCAGTCTGAAATCTTTAAGTCTAAGAAATATGGGACAGGGTCCTTAATGAGCAATTTCCCAACACAATGACTTTGGCATCTATTTATTTGGGGGCTAGTTTAATAAACAAAACCAAACCAAAAACCTTGGTGTTTAAATCAGGAACAAACCAGGAATAGATACCGGATGTGCAGTTACCCTTTGCCAACCTATGTATCTTTGACCTAGACCTCAGTAGAGTAAGAGTCCATAGGCCAACCGTCCTGAGTCTTACCAGCATATTATGTGTCTCTCTGAGCCTCAGTTTTCTTATCTCGATGTGCAAAAAGAATCTTAGCTACTCATGAAATAACTTGAGGGAAAAAAAAAAGATTTATCAGGAAGCACTGATATTACCTGAAAACATCTAGCACTATAATTTTTGTAACATAATTTTTGTAACATAATTTTAAATCTTCACCTCTAAATTACATGAAACTGCTTTTTAAAAGACAATAGGGAATTGCTATTATGGGTCAGGTGCTTTACATTATCTCTATCTTCCCCAATAATCTCATTTCAATCAGTAAAGACCCTGAAGGTCTGCAGGGTTAATTAAATAACTTGGACAAAGCCTCAGAACTAGTCACCCTGAACTGGAAAAGCTAGGAAAAAGCCCAGGGCTGTCCTTCCTCAACACCTGGGTGGTAAATGTGTGGCAAGCCCTGGCTCCCTCTGGCACAAGGCAAAAATCACAGATAAAGTGAGACACTCTTTTTTGCTGCTCCTGGATGTAGCCTCAAAATCCCTCTCAGGAAAGATCTCTGGGATACATGAAGGGAAGAAAGAAAAAATGCAAAACAGAGCATGCAGTAGCTAATGTTTGTGTAAGAAGGAATGGGGATAAGCATATACAGTCTCATATACTTGTATAAAGACACTTTGCAAATTTACACAAGAAAGTACTAATAGTGACTACCTATGGGGAAGACAAAGGGAGAAGAGAATAGGGTATTTGGGGACAAGGTGCTTTAATATTTGAATCATACAACCACACTGCATATATATACATATTTATATTTTGAGATGGAGTCTCGCTTTGTCGTCAGGCTGGAGTGCAGTGGCGGGATCTCAGCTCACTGCAACCTCTGACTCCCCTGGTTCAAGCGATTCTCCTGCCTCAGCCTCCCGAGTACCTGGGATTACAGGCACATGCCACCATGCCCAGCTAATTGTTGTATTTTTAGTAGAGACCAGGTTTCACCATGTTGGCCAGGATGGCCTCGATTTCCTGACCTTGTGATCCGCCCTCCTTGGCCTCCCAAAATGCTGGGATTACAGGCGTGAACCACCACACCTGGCCACACTGCTTATATTTTTAAATTTTAAAAAGGGAAAAAAAATCTCAACTTAGCACTACTGCCAGTCAATTAACACTGGCAATTAAGAAAAGGGCTACTTAACATAACCATTCTAAAATACACTGTTTCAATATATCCCTAATACTTCAGCTAGCATGAAGTTAGCTACAGTCAAATGATTCACTCAACAAATATTTCCTGAGAATCTACAGTGTTCCAGGGACTCTTCCAGGCACTGGAGATAAAGGAATAAACAAAACAAAGATCCTTATCTTCAATAAGCTTACATTCTAATGGGAGAAAGAGACAATATAAAGACATAAAACATATACTATGGCACACAGAAGGATATGCCAAAAAGAAAAATACAGCAAGAGAAGGGGATATGCAAAGTGTTGAATAAGAAGGGGTTGATTTGGATTTCAGGGCCTTGGAAGGTCTGAGATGGCACTGCGTAAATATTTGAAGGAAGTGAGAGAGACTGCCATGCAGTCCTTTGGGGAAAGGGCATTCCTGGCAGAAGCAACAGGAAGCGCAGAGGACCAGAGGCAGAAGCAGGGCTACCAGGTTTGCTGAAGCAACCTGTAAGGAGCCCGTTCAGCTGGCGCAGCAAGAGCAATGGGAAAAGCAGCACAAGATGAGCTTGGAGAGGCAACAAGACTAGGTCTGTAGGGACCCACACGTCAAAGTGAAGACTTTGGTTTTCATTCTGTATGAGATGAGAGTCACTGAAGGGTTCTGAGCAGAGAAGTGACACAATCTAACCTGTCCTTTAAGTTGTGTTCTTGCTGCTGTGTTGAGACTGTAGCAGCGTGCAACAGCAAAAGCACAAAGACCAGAGTGGTCAGCAGCCTCTAAGATGGCCCCAATAACTCCCACCTCCTGGTAGTCAAGCCCTTGCATAATCCTCTCCCCTGGAGTGTAGGCTAGATTTAGTGACTTACTTCTGACCAACAGAGGTGGGATACTACTTTTAAGTTACAGAAAGATGATAGTTTCTGTCTTGGGGGCTCTTTAGCTCTCCCTCGGACCCCTTCCCTCTTGTTCTAGGGGAAGCAAGCTATCATGCTGTTGAGCAGCACAATATAGAGGCTCATTTGAAAAGAAAATGATGTCTGCAGCCAAGAGTCAGAGAGGACTTAAGGCTTGCCAACAGCCATATGAATGACCTTGCGAGTATATGCCTCTTGCATCTAGCCTTGAAATGAGTGCAGCCTTGGCCAATACCCTGATTGCGCCTAGAGACCCTGAGCCAGAAATAACCACTTGTTTTCAACAAACCAGGTCTGGAGTAATCTGTTACAGGGCAATAACAACAAACAGTTAGGAGGCCAATTCAATAATCCAAGCAAGAGATGACAGTGATTTGTACCAGAGTGTTAAAAATGGAGGCAATGAGAAGTGGTTGGATTCTGGGTATATTTTAAGGCAGGGTTAACTGGATTTGTCAACATGTGAAAGAGACCGGGTGTGAAATGGGCAAGATGGAGAGGACAAAAGAGAGGCTGAGGTGTCTGATTTGAGCAAGTGAAAAACTGGAACTGCCATTTATAAAGATAGGGAACTCTGTGAGAAGAGAAGGAGGATAGGGAAGGAGTTGCTATCATGACTCAATTCTGGACATACTTAACCTCTGATGGCAACGAGACATACAAGCAGTGCCAAGAAGGCAACTAGATAAATTAATACTGGCTAGATAAATTAACTAGATAAATTAGCACTAAGGTTCAAGGCTGCAGGCGTAAATCTGAAACTCTTTGACATAGAGATGATAGGTATTTAAAGCCCCAAGCCCAGATGAAATCACAGGACAGTGACTGAGAGAGAAACTGAAGAGGTCAAGGACTGAGCCCTGGGACACTCAAACCTATAGAGGTCAGGGAATTTGACGAAAGCTCAGCAAAGGAGACTAAGTAGAAGCAGGCAGACATGTTGGAGGAAGTCCAGGCAAATGTGGCATTCTAAAAGCTAAGTGAAGAAAGTGTTTCAAGAGGAAGACAGTGATCCACTGTGCCAAAAATACTAGTCAAGTAGACAAGCATTCTTTGACTTCATGTTTTTATTAAGAGTAGTTTATCTTTTGCATTCAAGCTACCTCGCTTTCTTGAGTAAAGTCGAGGGCGTCTTCTCCTGACGCCAGCAGTGTGTGCAGAATTCGCTGTTTCACTTGCTCCCACTCGACCAACATTGACTCTCGATGGTACTCCTCAGCCATGCCGAAGGTCTGTCAGAAAGGAACAGAGAACAATGATCCTCAGGAAAAAAAACAAAAACAAAAAAACATGGTTTCTTTTAAGACCCAACAGAAACCTAAAGCCCTCCAGACCGACCACTTCTCCACAGGTAGAGAAAAAGCAATCTACTTTAAAAATTATCTTTAAAGAATTTACTGGCTGAGCGTGGTGGTTTACAACTGTAATCCCAGCATTTTGGGAAGCCAAGGCAGGCAGGTTGCTTGAGCTCAGGTGTTCGAGGGCAGCCTAGGCAACATGGCAAAACCCTCTCTACAAAAAATTAGCTGGGTACAGTGGTGTGCACCTATAGTCCCAGCTACTTGGGAGACTGAGGTGGGAGGATCACTTGAGCCCAGGAAGTCGAGGCTGCAGTGAGCTGTGATCGCAACATGCACTCCCTCCTGGGTGACAGAGCAAAACCCTGTCCCAAAACAAAACAAACTGCACTCCAACCTGGGCAACAGAGCAAGACCTTGTCTCCAAAGAAAAAATTAAATAAACTTGCTGACAACTGTTTGCAACATACCCTATTTCACTGAGTAGCTGGAATTACAGGTGCCCGCCACCATGCCTAGCTAATTTTTATATTTTTAGTAGAGATGGTGTTTCACCATGTTGCCCAGGCTGGTCTCAAACTCCTGACCTCAGGTGATCTGCCCACCTCGGCCTCCCAAAGTGATGGGATTACAGGTGTGAGCCACGGTGCCCAGCTCATATAAACCATTTTAAAGTGTCTAGTTCAGTGGTATTAAGTACATTCTCACTGTTGTGCAACCATCACCACCATCTCTTAGCTCCTGGCAACCACCACTCTACTTTCTGTTTTTGTGAATTTGACTACTCAAGGTACCTCACATAAATGAAATCATACAGTATTTGTCTTTTTGTGAGTGAAATGGGCCAGAGACAATCAGCATAATGTCCTTAAGAGTTGTAGCAAGTGTCAGAATTTCCTTTCTTTTTAAAGCTGAAAAATATTCCATTGTATGAATATACCATTTTCTTTATCCATTCATTCACTGATGGACACCCGAGTTGCTTCCACTTCTTGGCTTTTGTGAATAATACTATAAACGTGGGTATACAAATATCCCTGCTTTCAATTCTTCTGGGTATATACTCAGAAGTGGAACTGCATGGTAATTTTATTTTTAATTTTGTGAGGAACCTCCATACTATTTCCATAGAGGCTGTACCACTTCACATTCCTACCTGCAGTGCACAAGGTTTTCAATTTCTCTACATCCTCACCAACACTTAATAACGTTTTTTTCTGGCCACACAAGGTGGCTCCCTGTAATCCCTGCACTTTTGGAGGCCAAGGCAGGTAGATCACTTGAGGTCAGGAGTTCAAGACCACCCTGGTCAACATGGTGAAAACCTACTACTACTAAAAATACAAAAATCAGCTGGGTGTGGTGGTGCATGCCTGTAATCCCAGCTACTTGGGAGGCTGCGACATGAGAATCACTTGAACCCAGGAGGCAGAGGTTGCAGTGAGCTGTGATTGCACCACTGCACTCCAGCCTAGGCAACAGAGCAAGACTGTCACAGAAAACAAAAACATAAAAACCATATATATATATATATATATTTTTTTTTTTTCTCCCCCTGTTTTTGCTTGTAACCATCCTAAAGGGTGTAAAGTGGTATCTCACTGTGGTTTTATGTTCCCCTAATGACTAGTGATGTTGAGCATCTTTCCATGTGTTTACTAATATAAACATCTTTATATAAGCTCTGAAATTAGATCGTATATCATAGCAGTAATTTTTCTTTGTAGCATATAAAATAATGATGGATTATAAAATCAATAGTATCTTACGATATAATAAACATCTAAGAAAAGGAAAAAAAAGTTTCTCCCAGTGTTTTATATTATTATTATTATACATTTTTTTTCTGTTGCCCAGGCTGGAGTGCAGTGGAACGATCTCAGCTCACTGCAAACCCCGCCTCCTGAGTTCATGCCATCTTCCCACCTCAGCCTCCCAAGTAGCTAGGATTACAAGCATGCACCACCACACCTGGCTAACTTTTGTATTAAGACTTTTAGTAGAGACAGGGTTTCACCATGTTGGCCAGGCTGGTCTCGAACTCCTGACCTCAAGTGATCCGACCACCTTGGCCTCCCAAAGTGCTGGGATGACAGGCGTGAACCACTGCACTCGGCCCCAGTGATTTTATTTTATTTTTTAAAGAAACACTAATATTTTCATAGAAGGAAGTAAACCAGCAAAAGAAAAATAGCCTTCTGGGATTAAACTGCCTACCAGTCTACTCAAAGTTACTGAAAAGCCACTGTCTACTAGTAGTTGCAGGTAGCTGCCAAAATAAAGGCATTCAGAAGGTAAAGAAAAAAGAAAGGAAATCTGGGGAGGGGGCAGGAGAGGGAATAAGGAAGATGACAAAAAAAAATCTGAGAATTAAAATAACACAGATATATTGAATTATGACTATTCTTAGCCTATTATTCTTCAACTGGCAGACCAGGTTTCCCATCAGCTTAAGCCTTTTCAAAAAGCCATTTCATTTACATTCAGATTGGCATCTAATTAGGCAACAATAAGGGAATGAGTATTAGCAATGCCTGCTTTATTATTGGCAACCCAGATAATTTATACTGATAATATTGATATGCATGAGCTTTGGGGAACTGTTAGAAAAATCACATACATATACTCTTCCTACAATTGGGATGTTTCGAATTAGACCAATATTTATTAAAATGTGAAAAAAGGACATCAGACATACACACACACAGACATATGATTAGGAAGAAGGCTGGTGCATTGCTGGACCCTTTTCTAATACATATTCTGCAGACACAGGAGAAACGATAATCACAAACTTTAAAAACAGTCTTCCAACTGGTTTTTTTCTTTTCACTGAGATGTCAGGCAGAATGGACCATTCCAGTCAGTTAGCCTGAGCTGAAAAATACCCAGAGAAAAACCTTTGCTTCTTGCTCACACCAGTAAACTTAAACATGAAAGTTATGCATTTTAAATGAAGAGAAGTATGATGGAACATAAAGGTGGGGTGGAGGGGAAGAGATAATTTTCTTAGAAGTTGTCCAGAAAGAATAGACAAGTGTGAGCCACAATTTTGTGTAAAACTTTCCCACATAGTGGTCAAACCAACTGCCTCCTCAGCCTCTAGCCTCTCCCAGCAAGGTCAAATGGAGGACCAGGGGCAAGAGGATCAGGTAGGGTAGAAGGAGGCAGGGGAAGGTTGATACATTATACAGCCTACCGAGCTGCAACACGAAGTGAGCGCACCACAAAGTGTACTAAGTCTTTTTCTTAAGGACAAGACCTCTGGCCAACAGTGGCAGAGTAGCAAAGGCAATTAAAGAAAACAGACAATGTACCACCCACAGAAACTGCTGAAGAGGACAGTGGAGACAGACTTTCAGCATCAGGTAAGGGTCAGAATGACGACAGTAGGAATTAACCATTCCCTGTTAATTGGGCTGCCTGCCTGTGTGCCAAGAACTCCTGCTTAGTACTTTGAAAGTGCTTTGAACACTATCAGCTTTCTGGGTTCAAATCCTCAGATGTATCTGAAAGTATGCCAGGCTACTCATTTAGAAACACCCTCATAACCTGAATGAACACTGCTGTAGTTCTATTTACCATTAGTGTGATAAGGAGTTTCAAATAAAAATAAATGCCCCAGGCAGGCAAATTGCTTGAGGTCAGGAGTTTGAGACCAGCCTGGCCAACGAGGTGAAACCCCATCTCTACTAAAAATGCAAAAATTAGCTGGGCGTGGTGGCTGATGCCTGTAATCCCAGCTAACTCAGGAGGCTGAGGCAGGAGAATCACTTGAGCCCTGGAGATGGAGGTTGCAGTGAGCCGAGATCACACCATTACACTCCAGCCTGGGTGACAGAGCAAGGCCCTGTCTCAAAAAATAAATAAATGATCCAATATCAAAATTCTCTTCCCTTAATTGCATCACCCCCAGCTTATCTTAATTACATTAGAGGTAATGGAACATTCAATCTGTGGGTTAATCAGGGATGATTAGTCACCCATCTGTCCCATTCCAACCTATTCTGTTTATATCCACATCTGAACCACTGAACTAAAGTGCAAAGAATGCTAACTAGAGGAAGCATTGCTAACTAATGCTAACTAATGAGACAGAATCAACAGAACTGCTCAACTAACAACTAAGAGAAGAGGAGGGCAGTGAGAGTCTAAGGTGAGGTGGGAAACAGTGTTAAGAAACTCAAAGGAAAAGAAAAAGGATAAACTGGAAGAGTACGGAGAAATCTAAAAATTAAAAGGAAGGCAAAAACAAACCACAAAAAATGACAAAACAGTGGAGAAACTATTATAAATTAAATCTGAATCTTTCAAGTTACTATGTGTGGAAAATATTTCTCTTTGAACACAAGAAAAAAAGCATGGAAAGAATTGGGCAGCTGAATTAAGAGCAGGTGGGGAGCATTTGAACCCCATTTTCATAAAGGGAAGAGGGCAATATGCTTTGACTTCACACCCGTTTATTACTGCACTGTTGCTGGCTTTTAGAAACACTGCATATGTTCTGATAATGTTGTTCCGTTTTTGCTGGGATGTGCCAAATGGGGAAAGACAGGACACACTTGTGGTTTTGTAGCTTGTTTTCTTGGCATTTCAGCAGGACACTGGCAAGTTATTCAAACATAAAACAGTCACAAAAATACCAGAAAGTTGCTCACTTTTTGTGTGAAAATGATTCTTGCTCAGTGGCAGTTTCCTGGTGTCCAGACAGGTCAAAGGTCTCCCCCTAGGCTGGCTCCCAACACTGGAATGCCTCCCTCACAAACACATATGCACACATTTTGCACTGTGGTATGTCACCTAAATGTTTTGGCTGGCTGCAAATTTAGTCTCAGTATGGCACAATGTTCAGAGACTGCCAATTCCAGAAACACATTCTGCGGGGTAAATGGACTAATGAAGCTTGGTAGCATTCAACAATCCTAATTTAATTTCATTGGTCCTTTACAGCAGGAGAATCAATGTTGGTAACTCACTTAATGTGTGAACCAAAAGAAAACCCTTTTAAAAATATTTTCAGATCTGAATCAAGTGAATTTCTCTCTATCTGTGACTAAGTACTATCACCAACAATATAATTAATGAAATTTTGGGAATTTTATTTATTTTTTTGAGACAGAGTCTCGCTCTGTCGCCCTGGCTGGAATGCAGTGGTGCGATCTCAGTGCACTGCAACCTTTGCCTCCCAGGTTCAAGCGATTCTCCTGCCTCAGCCCCTTGAGTAGCTGGGACTACAGGTGTGCACCACCACACCTGGCTAATTTTTGTATTTTTAGTAGAGACAGGGTTTTGCCATGTTGGCTGGGCTGGTCTCGAACTCCTGACCTCAAGTGATCCACCTGCCTTGTCCTTCCAAATTGCTGGGATTACAGGCATGAGCCACTGCACATGATGGGAATTTTATTTTGATAATGAAACATATCAGTCATTTAAATAACGAGCCCTATTTCTCCTCAGTACTACTGAGACATGTTCACCTTCACAGAATATTTTAATAAAGCACACTGAGAAGCAACACTTTTTTCACTTTATTATTTTTGAACTACACAACTAATGAATAAATTTCATTGGATATAAGAACTAAATAAGTAAACAGCAAAACAGAGGTCTCACTTCAAGCCTACTCCCTTTGCAGAAAGGGCTACTGCTAGCTGATGGAATGTACCCTGCCAGCCTCCTTCCTGGGGAAAGCTGCACTTCTATAACCAATTCCACAGGACAACTAGCCTTTCTTCTCTCTCACCATAAGGCCCCAAGGGCCCAAAAATCTCTTTCACTATAATGGGATGTTATAGAAAGATTTTGATATTTGGATCTTTGTCAGAAATAAACGGAGATAACTCACATGTTAAACAATCTTTGAGTATCTTGCACGACTGCTTGTTGCAGAATATTGTTGCACATATAATGGCTGCTCTTAGGTGAACTTATTTACCATCTTTTCAAGCATGGAGCTAGTTTTATGTGTGTGTGTGTGTGTGTGTGTGTTTGAACTTGGAGAAATTGTTAATATAAAAGGTGGTCCACTCAATACTGTGTAATAAAAGGAAAATAAGTTGAAGGAAACTGTCAGCGATCACAGCTGCTTTTCTGAACTGCTGATTCAGTAGAAACCACAATACCATTTATACAATAACAATGAAACCAATAATTTTCTGGTCTTTCCATTTTAAGATTAATAGTTAATTGTCCAGTCCAGTGTCTCAGATGCATTGCAGTCACTAAATACATACAGAGTTATAAAGCATGGTATTCTTCTCAAAAAATGGTTCCTGTAGAACTCTCTCTGTAGGAGAGAACTGGGCATGTGAGAGATTCCAGCTTCCAGATCCTACACTACACTCCCCTAGTATATACTGCTGCCCCCATCTGGTTTTTTTTTTTTTTTTTTTTTTTTGAGACAGGATCTCACTCCTCATTCTGTCCCCCAGGACGGAGTGCAGTGGTACAACTTGGCTCACTGCAGCCTCTACCTCCCAGGTTCAAGCAACCCTCCCATAGCCACCGGAGTAGCTGCAACCACAGACGTGTGCCACCATGCTTAGCTAATTTTTTGCATTTTTTGTAAAGATGGGGTCTCACTATGTTGCCTAGGCTGATCTTGAATTCCTGGGCTCAAGCGAAACTCCTACATCCGCCTCCCAAAGTGTTAGGATTACAGGTGTGAGCCACCACGCCCAACCCTCTTGCCCTCATCTGTATACATCTACATTTTGGTTAATTTTCTTACCCTCTTCCGGGACTCTTCAATGGCAGACAGCAGGGCATTGTCCTTCTCATTCTTCAGAAAGCCCTACAAATGGGGGAAAAATTAACACAACTTAAAACTAACTTTCAAAAAATCAAAAGTATACTGAGAGACAAACGATAACCATAATGGTATCTAGTACGCTACCTACCTCCACCTCACAAATCTCTCCCAATTTGAAAACATCAAAATAGATGACTTTTACAGATGTTTCTTAGTTTATTCCATTCTGGGAGCACATGACGATTGTTAGAAAGTAAAGTTCCCATGAAACAATAGTGTGGGGTTCTATATCCTGTAAACATGTAAAAAGTGGAAAATCAAGACTGTCCTTCAAAATTCCTAAATGGCTCATATTGCAGATACAGCCTTGGTGATGGAGCTAGTCACAGTTCCTCTAACTGTTCCTTAGTCTATATTTCTCTGTTGGTTTATATTAATTTCTTTCTAACATTGAGGACATCATCATCGCCCATTTGTCTGTGTGCTTTTCGCTTGTTGGCCAACGTCTGGAAAATTCTAAAAATCCTTTCTTTACACATTTCTTCCAGGGTTTTGCCATGTGCTCTGTCTGTTTCAGGTCTGCTCCACTGCTCGTTTAATATAGGTAGGGTGAAAAGACAGCCTACAAGTCTAGTTTAATATAAACAGGTTAAATGCCTGCAAAATGCAACTACACAGTAACACAATGGCCAAAAGGATAGGCTTTGAAATTTGGCAGTTTCAAATCCTAGTGTCTCCATTTACTACTAGTAGCAGGACTTTAGCCAGGTCACCCAAACTCCCTAAACCTCAGCTTACTTGTTTGTAAAAAAATAAGATAATGTAATCAAGTTATTGACCCAAGGCTCAATATATGTAGCTCTATTATTAGAATCGATTAGATTTAGATCTGTTGGTGACTTCTATTAACGAAAGAGATGCCCAGGATGATCTCTTTGCTGCTGTTCATTGTCCTTATTTGCTTCAGCCGAGATCCAATAGGAAAAGGGCTGAGACACTATTCTGACAGCCACAGTTGCAGACAGACAGATATATACACTGCACTTCCCTGCCAACACCTTGCTCTTCATACAAGGGGGCAGTTTCTTTTCCACAGCTTGGGCTGGTTGGGGGCTGAGTAGGAACAAGGAAGATGACCCATCAATTGACATGTAGAGATCAAAGTCTTAGTTGTAATATGAAGAACTCAAGTTACCTTACAAATCAGATCTACCTACACTCCAATGCAAGGTACAAGCATGCCACTACTGGTGCATTTATACATGTCTAAAATCGCTCTGTCACCCAGGCTGGAGTGCAGTGGCACAATCTCGGCTCACTGTAAACTGCCTCCTAAATTCAAGTGATCCTCCTGCTCAGTCTCTCAAGTAGCTGGGATTACAAGCGTGCACCACCACACCCGGCTAGTTTTTGTATTTTTAGTACAGACAGGGTTTCACCATGTTGGCCATGATGAGGTCAACGTGTTGGCTCGACTGCAAGTGATCTGCCTCCCAAAGTGCTTGGATTACTGGCGTAAGCCACTGCACCCAGCCTTGTGTTTTTGCTTTTTTTTTTTTTTTTTTTTTTTTTTGAGACGGAGTCTCGCTCTGTTGCCAGGCTGTAGTGCAGTGGCGTCATCTCGGCTCACTGCAACTTCTGCCTCCTGGGATCAAGCGATTCTCTGGCCTCAGCCTCCCAAGTAGCTGGGACTACAGGCGCATGTCACCATGCCCAGCTAATTTTTGTATTCTTAGTAGAGACGGGATTTCACCATTTTGGCCAGGATGATCTCAATCTCTTGAACTCGTGATCCACCCGCCTTGGCTTCCCAAAGTGCTAGGATTACAGGTGTGAGCCACTGTGCCCAGCTCTGTTTTTGCTTTTTAAAGAAACTTTGGGAAAACGTAATACAAAGAAGAATTTGGCAAAAGCTTTTAAAATGACAAGCTAAATTAAAACACCATCATTTTCTTGCATTGGAAACTTACTGTTACGGTTAGTTTTTGATCATTGTAATTTAACAACTGTAATGTTTTAGTATACAGTCATGCATCACTTAATAACAGGGATACATTCTGAGAAAGCCTCCTACTAGGTGATTTCATCGTTGTATGAACATCATAGAATATACTTACATAAACCTAGATGGTATAGCCTACTACACCAAGCTACATATGGTATAACTTGTTGCTCCCAGGCTACCAACCTGTACAGCACGTTACTGTACTGAATACTACAGGCAATTGTAACATAATGGTAAGTGTTTGTGTATCTAATTATAGAAAAGGTACAACAAAAATATGGTATTGTAATCTTATGGGATCACTGTTGTATATTTGGGTCTGTTCTTGACCAAAACATCATTATGTGGCACTTCAGTGTATTCTGTTTAGTCTTTTTAAGAAGGTGGGGGAGGTGGGTTCGGAGGCAGGATAATACTGGGGATGTACATTTAAATAAAACATTACTAATTATAGATTTCCCAAATTCCTTACATATTGGCCTAAGTCTCCCCAACACGTGCTGTCACACCCCAAAACCTGGGCAGTGCACTGGGATGGACAGGGACAATGACCAGGAGCCCAGGAAATAGTTCCCTCTTAAAGACTCCATGGCCAAGCGTGGTGGCTCACGCCTGTAATCTCAGCACTTTGGGAGTCCAAGGTGGGTGGATCACTTGAGGTCAAGAGTTCGAGACCATCCTGGCCAACATGGTGAAACCCTGTCTCTACTAAAACAACAAAAATGAGCCAGCCGTGGTGGCAGGCACCTATAATCCCAGCTACTTGGGAGGCTAAGGCAGGAGAATCGCTTGAACCAGGGAGGCAGAGGTTGCAGTGAGCTGAGATCGCACCACTGCACTTTAGCCTGGGTAACAGAGACTCCATCTCAAAAAATAAAAATAAAAATAAAAATAAGACTCCTCCAGCATAGCCTCTCAGGCAGCTCTGAGGACACAACACGAAGACTCTCTAAATACATATACTGATAACTGGGGTGGAATGGGGAATGGCATCGGTCATTTGCCTAATGGTAATGACATCAATAAACCAGAGCACATGAAGCTAGGAACCCACATGGTCCATTCAGAAGGGTGCGGCAGCTTGACACCACCTACCTGCTTTTGGCCATCACAGGGGACCCAGACATAAAACAATGGCAGATTTTAATGGGCCTTGTTTGTACCTTTCATAGCAAATGATTATGTCAAGTCAACAAACCTTTAGTATAAATACATTTTCAATAGTGGTCTCCAATGTGGCTAAAGCTAAAGGCTTTAGTGTCACAGTTCATAAACAAAGCTGTGAAACTATTATCAATGACTAATGCTCCCAAACAATGAATAGTCATGAATTGTGCTCTGTGGCACCTTTTTGTGGCTGCCTGCCTCTATGCTGCTGACTGTCCAAACAAGCTACGCTTGGGAGTAGTGGGGGAGGGGAGGGGATTACCACTGCCTCACAAAGCCTGGTCTAATATTTTCTTTTTGGTTATGGGGAGGGGAGGGACCTGGGTTAAGTCTGATGTTCTGTCACATTCCTTCTCTGGGCTTCCTCTGTTCTTTCCAGTCAATGACTAGCCCATCCCATTCTTTTAATGGCACCCATGTTCATATCTCTCTCTCTCTCTCACACACACACACACACACACACTCTCACACACTTACAACACAAATGCAAAGCAATGACCAGACGCATTTGTTGAAAAGCAAAATAATATTCTGCAAGAAATGCAATTCCCAAATTTCTGAGAGATAAAATTTCAAGTAAGAATGAAACAGAAGAAAAAAAGACATTATTGCTTTGGGATAGATTACTCCAGTCTTTAAAATATTTACTATAAAGCTACATTTTACAACTCTCGATAAATGAAGCATGTGTGTGAGTCAAACCTCACCCACATATAAACAAAGACCATTAACCATTACATACTTCAAAAACTGGACTCTAAGCACAAACTGAGCTCACAAAATAGATTTTGAATTTTAATTTTTCATCCTTTCTAAAATGAAGTGCTAAATAGGTTATACATCATATTTTATTTTAAAAAAACACATTAGTGGTCTGTCTTTTCAAAACAATTTTTTAAGTAACATATATACATATATATATATATTTATTTATTTATTTTTATTTACTTATTTTTTTGAGACGGAGTCTCGTTCTGCCGCACAGGCTAGAGTGCAGTGGCGCGATCTCGGCTCACTGCACCTCCGCCTCCCGGGTTCAAGTCATTCCTCTGCCTCAGCCTCCCGAGTAGCTGGGACTATGGGCATGTGCCATCACGCCCAACTAATTTTTGTACTTTTAGTAGAGACAGGGTGTCACCATATTGGTCAGGCTGGTCGTGAACTCCTAACCTCATGATCTGCCCACCTCAGCCTCCCAAAGTATAAAACAGTAACTTATACACCAGAATACTGCTAGGATCTGTGTGCCATCTAGTGGCAGTTAGTTTCTTTCAAAGAACCCACAACTCAAGGAGAAGTAACAGCCCACTGGAATTAAAGAACTAAAAAGTTAGGCAGAACCACACCTGCCTCAGTCCAGGTGCCCCACAGATCTCCTGACTTCCCTTTCCTACCCACGTGTTTCCTTTCCCTCCAAACTCCTCCTCCTGTGAGACGCCTCTCATGCCTCACCCAGGAGATGTACGTGTATAGCTGATGGGAAAATGAGTTCTCTGGAGAAGGGAGCTGGAACTTGAAGGATGAACTGGCTCCCTGCCACCAAGATGCCCCCTGGGCACAGAAAAAGCCCAACAATTCACCTCCTACTGGTAGATGCCAGCATCTAATGATGACCCTCAGAGCTCCCCATCACTGCTATCCCTTCATTCCCATCAACAAGCACTTATAATTGCTCACAGTCCCCCATCTGATCCTTCTGCTGTGGGTCAGCTCAATAAAGAACACCCCCAAAAACATCTGCAGGCCAGCTAGGTAAACTAACTCCTCCTGACTTCCCCATCTGTGTACTGCTCCTCACTGCCAGTGTGCTGAAACAGACCCTTGCCTAACTGGCTCCTCAAATGTGTTTTGGTTTTCAGCTTTCTGTAAC